CGCCCCCCCCTGGGTCCAGTCTCCCCCTGCTGCTCCCCCTGGGCTCGACGTCTCCCCCCCCTGGGCACAGTCTCCCCCGGATGCTCCCCCTCAGAAGGGGGGTTGGGCGTCCAGAGTCGGCATCGTCCGGTTTGTGGCCCTCTCCACCGGGGCCATGGCATCTCGGCCCCACCGCGCCCACCCGCCCGAAGGAAACACCACACATCTCCGCCTAAGGGGATATGTCGGCCAGCGGGGCCAATGCCATGCCGGTGGGGATTGGGATCGGGTAGGACAGGGTAGGCGGTGCTCACGCATACATATATATACACATATACATATATACACATTTATATACATATATATATATACATATATATATGAGAGGGAGAGAGAGAGAGAGAGATGGAGAGGGAGAGAGAGACAGAGAGAGAGAGTGAGAGAAAGAGAGAGCACAGAACAGAATATTAGAGAGGGGGGGAAGGGCGATCTCCTGCCGGGGCCCGCCCATGCCAGAATCCCCCCCCCCCCGCGAACGCCAACGCCGTGACTGCTCTCACGACGTGGGCCTCCGGAGGGCTGTACCCCTCCCCTGGGACCCACTTTTCGTCCTGAGTCGTCCTTTTGACATGCCAGACTCTTCCCGTCGTCACGGTCTGGACCTCTCCCCAGGGATTTGGCTTATCGTCCTGAGTCGTCGTCCTCCTCCTCCTCCTCCTCCTCCTCCTCCTCCTCCTCCTCCTCCTCCCCCTCCTCCTCCTCCTCCAGGGTCTGGAGTCGTCCTTTGACGGCCCAGGGCCCCTGTGAGGGCTTCCAGGGGCGGAGCACGGCAGACGAGGCGAGGAGGTCGACTCGCTTGACGCCAGGGTGACCCTTCGCCAGAGTGACCTGTGGCGCGTGCCCCCGGGCCCCCCCCCCGACGTCGGCCTGCGCGCTTCGTTGTCGCCCCCTCCGTGGCCCCCGAAAGCCGCGCACCACAGGTCGCTCCTGCCTCGGGTGACTCGTTGCGTGGTGTAGCTGAGGGGGTTTGGCCACCCTCTGCCGACCCAGAGACCGTCCGTCCTCACGACGCGCCCGGTCAGGATTTTTCCGTAACCTTGACCCGGAGGTCTCGACCCGTTCCCCTGGGCTTGGCTTCCCATCCCGAGCCGTCTTCCGACGGCCCCGAGGCCAGGCGAGGGCCTCCGGAAATCGAAGACCGCGGAACGCCTCCCGCCGCAACCCTCCCACGACTCGGGGGGTGGGGTCTGCCCTCGACCTGCACCAGCCGCACCGCCCGCGCGGAGTGTGCCGCCGCCATGCGGCCGCGCGGAGGGCGCGGAGGGTGCAGGCCGAGGGTGGGCGAGGAGGCCGCGCGGCTGAGCGGGCGCGTGGTCGCCCCCGCGCAGTGCGGCCCGCGGGGGCGCCGACGGGGGGCCTCAGCTGGGGCCTGCTCTGTCGAGGCTGCGGCGGCCAGTTTCCACCTCGTCGGCGAAGGAGGGGCGGAGGTGCGAAGGAGAAGGCCCTCTCAGAAGGCGGTGTCTTCGGGCCTCTTCAGAAGGCCCGAGGCCTTCCGGGCCCTCTGAGGAGGCCCGCTCCGAATCGCTTCCCCTCGGGCTCGCCGCCGATGCACGGGACATGGAGTCGGTGGGGGGTCTGCGGTGGCCCAGCACCGGTTGCGACGAGCAGGAATGGGGGGGCATGTTCGAGGCTCTGGGGATCTCTGGGGCCCCAACGAGTTCAGACCCCCCAGCCGCCTCCAACATGGGACGACGACGACGACGACGTTGACGACGACGACGACGACGACGACGACGACGACGACGACGACGACGACGACGAGGACGACGACGGCCACGGCGACGAAGACGACGACGACGTTGACGACGACGTTGACGACGACGCTGACGACGACGACGACGACGACGACGACGACGACGACGACGACGACGACGACGACGACGGCGGCGGCGGCGGCGGCGACGACGACGACGACGACGACGTTGACAACGGACCGCGAACGACCTCCCGACTTCCAGGATGGGGGGAGGGGAGGAACGAGGGGAGCGACGACGAGGACGAGGACCGCGACCGACCGACCGAGGGTAACGGCAACGGCGGCGACCCACGACGACGGCGACGGCGACGGCGGTGGCGATGGCGACGGCTGGCCCCTGGCGAGGGGAAGCGACAGCCCCCTGGCTCGCCTTTAGCGCGAAGCCTCCTTGAGCCTTTAGAGTTTGGGAGTTCGTTCTACGCCCTTGTACCCCGTAGAGACACCTAGAACGCCCTACCCCCCAAACCTTATCTTCCTCCGCCTCCTCCTGCTCCTCCTCCTCCTCCTCCTCCTCCTCCTCCTCCCCCTCCTCCTACCCCTCCTCCTCCTCCTCCTCCTTCTCCTCCTCCTCCTCCTCCTCCTTTTCCTCCTCGCCTCGACCTGCAGGCACTGGGTCACCTTCGACCAGCTCAAGCAATCCTGCGACTCGCTGGTGATGTACATACCGCCCGGGGAGCGCATGCTGAAGTCCTGCCTCGACAGCAGGCGTGCCACACCGGGAGGAGGAGGCGAGGAACGGGGAGGAGGAGGAGGAGGAGGAGGAGGGGCGTTGACGAGGTGGAGGAGGAGCGGAAGGGCAAGCAGCGGGAAGGGGTGTGGGCAGGGCTAGGATGATGATGTTGATGATGATGACGATGATGATGCTGTTGTTGATGCTGATGATGCTGCTGATGATGATGATGCTGTTGTTGATGATGCTGATGATGTTGATGCTGATGATGCTGGTGATGCTGATGATTATGACGATGCTGATGCTGCTGATGATGCTGATGACGATGCAGATGATGTAGATGATGATGGTGATTATGGTGGTTATGATGATTATGGTGATGATGCTACTGATGTGCATGATGCTGATTATGACTATGATGATGACGATGTTGATGACGATGACGATGATGATGATGATGATGATGATGATGATGATGATGATGATGATGATGATGATGATGATGATGATGATGATGATGATGATGATGCTGCTCCTGCTGCTGCTGCTGCTGCTGATGATGATGATGATGATGATGATGATGATGATGATGATGATGATGATGATGATGATGGGGTGCGTGCACAATAATGACTAACAGGGTATGGGTTGTCGGTCCCATCGGTCCACATTGTTGTTGCTCCGCAGTCATCCAGGCTCTAGAGTTTCTGGCACCGAATGCAGTCGGTGATCGGAGCTCTCTTGGCCACTTTGACCATCATCCTTCGCGACGCGGCCGAACGGCAGTGGACCGCGGGCCCCGCGATACCCCCTTCGGATTGCGGCCCCTGGGGGGCGCCGCCAGCGCCGTCGCGGGTGGAGGTGGCCTGCGCCGAGGCAGTCGTCCAACCCGACGTGTTCGAGGAGGTGGCTCGACGCCTCAAGGCGGAGGCGTGCGTGTGCAGGACTGTCGGGCACGACACGGAATTGATCGCAGCCACCGCGCTGGCGCTGTGTGCGGGCCATGGCTTCATCTTCGTGTTGTTCCCCTTCGGTCGTTGGACTTGCCCCCGTCGCGATGGCGCTCGTTGCGGTTTGCCGTCCGCGCCGCCTCGCGGACACAGGAAGGCCTCCTTCGGTGCAGGAGTTGTCGAATAGTCTTCGGCCAGGTCTGTTGATGGATATCAAGTACGCCGCAGAGGACTTGTTGCACGATGGGGGTCGCGATGGGCTCTGGGCTTCGCAACGCGGAGGGCCTCGTCACTAGCTGGTGGGTCCTCATTCCCGACGGGGACTTCTACAAGGAGGATCTATCGATGGAGGCGGGCGAGGGCGAGCGGTTGATGCTACTCGATATGGCGGGAACTTGCCCTCGCGCCCTGCGGGGAAAGTTCTACAGGTTCGCGGATGGGGCCTATCCCGCCGACGACCGTTTCCGACACGAGGCCCAGCAGGCCGTGGCTCGGATGCGGTCAGCGGGACAGGAGCCGCCCGCCCGCTCTCGCGCACTGCGTGACCGTGCAGGGCGAGCTTGCTCCGCTGCCTGGCGTGGGGCGACGGCTTCGACGGGGAGGCGCTGGATCTGCTGCCGCGGTCGACGGTACCGCCACGCCTCCGCTGCCGCCCCCTTCGGAGGCTCCCGCGGTGGAGGGCGATGGGCCCCCAGAGGCCCGCGACGTGGTGGCGCCCTTTTCGGGCTGCGCTGCCCGAGCGCCCCGCCCGTCGCGACGGCCTGGCGTGGCTCATCACTGAGAATGCCGACGGCCACGAGACCATGGGCATGGGGGTGGCGCCGCGCGCTGGGGGCGTCATCGTGGCGACGACGGACGGGCTCGCTCACAGGCACGGCGCGCTCCTGCGCGCCCAGGCGGTGGCCAGCAGCGGGTGCGCGGAGTTCGTGACAGGGCTCCGCGCACGGTGCGGTGGCGCGGCTTCGGCGGCAGGCCCTTCGGCGCTTCGTGCTCGGGCCGCTGACGAGATGCCCGCCCAGGACGACGATGTGCGCACCCTCTGGGTCGACCGCGATGAGGCGGGTGAGAGGTTCAAGAGCTGGAAGCAGGCCGCCCAGGAAAGCAGGGAGGAGCCCATCGCAGCGGTGGAGGTCCAGGGGCCTCCTGGAGCCCTCCACCTCGCTCGGCGCACGGAGCGCTACGGAGGCGATCCGCGACGATGGTGGCAGGAGTTCGCCCGCGGCAACGGCATCTCGAAGACGGATCGGGTCTACCACGAGATGGCCATTTTGACCAGGAGATTCAAGCTGTTCGGCGAGTGCGACCAGCTCAACCTGGGCGCGTCGGCGGGCATCGGGAAGATGGTTCGGCGGGTGCCGGGCGTGATCGACGCTTATTCCGCGGGCAGCGGGGTTCCGTCGCGGCGCATGGTTGCCGCGTATGAGGGCGAGGCCAATTGCGGGGGCGCCATCGCGCCAACTCCGCGCAAGTGGGGCATCAACAAGTTGAAGGATCAGAACGAGATCGAGAGTACTCGGACGCGCCAGCTGCGGCCTGCGGCGGAGGGCACCAACGCTGGAGGCGGTCGCAGCGCCGCCGACGGGCGCCGAGGCCGTGGGCGCGGCGACGCAGGACGGGGCAGGCGGGGCGGCCAGGGCTCCGCTGCCCCGAAGGATGGTTGACTCGGATGATGGGTCGTGGACAGGCCCCCCACGCCACGGCCCGCTGAAGGTGGGCAATTTTCGGTCGCCGATGCGCCCTCGCCTCTTCGAGCAGTCCCCGCTGGCTCTTCCTCGGCGAGAACCTGTTCCTGTTGCTGGCGGTAGTCGTCTCGGGCGCTATCGTGCTCATGACCATGTTCGACAGTTAGTAGGGGCTGGTTGTAATACACTTACTTGGCTTCCGAGGACCGACGCCCGCCAACCGTCTGACGTCCGAGGGCGGCCTGGCCCCGCCAGCTACAACGGCGACGCGCCCGCTCGGGAGGCGGCGCCCAAGCTGGACGATAACCTGGTTTACTTGGAGGCGTTGGCGGAGCTCCAGGTGCTGGAGGGCGCTCGGAATTCTACAAGCCGCCAGAAGCGGCCCCATCGGGAGTTGCTCTGTGACAAGGCGTCTGCCAGCAGGATGGGCGCTTGTTCGACTACGCTCGCGCCGTTCCAGCGCGGTCGGGCCTCCTTGCCTGAGGGGGGGACCAGCGCCCCCAACGTCTCGGAGCTCGTCGGGGGCCGTGGCCGACGATGCCTGGATGGCGCAGGAGAGCGCATGCTGGATCCCGCTGCCAGCAGCAGCTTTGATGATGGTGCTGAGCGATGCTACGTCGACCCCCAGCTCGCCAGCAGCCCAACGATCTACGCCCGTTTTATTTGCGACCGGAAGGCTAGGGACATGTTGGTTTTCGGCGTTTGGCTCACGAGCGAACTTGTCTTTTTCGTTCGCAAGACGAACGGGAAGCTCCGCCTCATTCTCGACGCGAGGCGCGCCAGAAGGCGGTTCGCGCTTCCGCCTCGGGTCGACCACATGACGGCCGAGTGCCTCGGCCGCGTCGAGGTGGAGCTGCCCGGCGGCCAGGGCTACTCCCCCCTCTACTGTGGCACGGCGGATGTGCAGGACGCCTTCCACGGGGGCCCGTCCCGACCTGGCTCTCCCGCTGGTTCGGGCTGCCGCCCGCCCACGCCGCTGGCGTCGGGCTCCAGGATCCCGATGCCTCGGTGCATGCCCATGGGTTTCTCGTGGGGTCTATTCTTGGCGCAGGACATCGACGAGGAGGTCGCCGGCCAGATCCTGGAGCGCGGCGAGCTGCTCCGTGGCGGGGGGGCAGCCACTGGGCCCCACTCTGCGCGGTGATGGCGCCTCGAAGACCAGGCGCTACATCTACGTGGGCAACGCCGCGGTCTTTGGGTCGGACGGCAACGCCGTGGCAGCCAAGCTGGTTGACGTCTGCGCTGCCTTCGAGGTGAGGGGCCTCGCCGCGCATGAGGTCGCCACCTCCGACTCAGGCGTCGAGGCGCTCGGCGCGCTCCTGGGCGGTCGCCGTAGGCGCGCGAGGCTGACGGCGAAGCGCGTCTGGCGCGCGCGAGGCGCTCTGCTGGCCCTTGCAGGGCGGCGCCGCGCGTGTGAACGGCAGGTGGAGGTCATCCTGGTCCACGCCGCCTTCTGCGGGTCTGTGAGACGCGAGACGCTGTTTGCGACGGTTTACCCGTTCATCAGGAAGCACTGCGACCAGCCTGTCGCCCTCTGGCCGTCGGTGGCCGCCGAGCTGAAAGCCTTTGCTCGGCTCACGGTGCTGCTGGTCTCTAGTTGGGGGTCCGACTGGAACCCGCTGGTTGTGGCCGTGGACTCTTCGGAGACGGGCCACGGCATCTGCTCCCGTTGGTTCGACGCCCGCGACGTCGCAGCGGTCGGGCGCTGCCGCGAGCGCAACCGCTACGTCGCCGGCGACCGCGCGGGGGCCCGCGCGGCACCTCGTGGGGGCGGCTCGCCTCCTTCGGAGCCGCTGGGCGTCGAGGGGCGCCTGGACCGCGAAGGGCTACTCGCTGACCCTAGCTTCGCCGAGGCGCCCAACTTCATGACGGGGCCCCTCCAGGGGTCTGGTCTACGTCGCGGGGGGCGCGAGTTTGAGCCGAGTCGGGTCAGGTGTTAGCCTCGTCTCAGCCCCGAGCGGCGCAGGCTGGTGGTCCCAGTCGGTAGCGGCGCCTTCGCAGCTCGCAGGGCCAGCCCGCGCTTCGGTCGCGCACTTCCCGAGTGCTGGAGGGCAGCGGCAGCGATGCGCTCGGCGTCAAAGCCTTGGCTCGCAGCGCCAACCAGCCAGACCTCTCGGAGGTCGAGGTGCGACACCTGCTGGAGCAGCTGCGGGCCCCCCTTAGCTCCGATCCGCGTTTCGCGGAAGCCTCGAGCTCCGAGAGCGAGGAGGACAAGCCGCTGGACCACCTCGCGGCCCCTGCTCAGAGTCGCGTGCCCCGCCGGGCCAAGAAGGGCCCCCTCGCGAAGCTGCTGGGGCCACCCGTGGCCCCCGAGCTAGTCCGTTTGCCTTTGGGAGAGCACGCCGCGGCGAGGCCGCGAACCGAAGCCCAGCACGCCCGAGAAGTACACCAGCTCAGCGTCTT